AGTACAATCAAAATTTTCTATTTTCGACCCCTATTTCGATTTGCCATTTTTTCGCAAAAAATCTTTTTTTGTACCAAACTTTATATGTTGAGTATAGTATTTGTAACAAAATTTAAATAAATGAAAGTTTGCTTGTATTTAATTCTGTCACCAAAATTTACACTAATTTGTTATTTTTACATTTAGATGAATTTAGAAAAATGATTCGTCGTCAATAGATAATAATGGAAATTGAAGATATACATTATGGATTAAAAATAATACTATATATTATTATTAATTTGACAAAAAAAAAATAAGAAAAAGATTTGCACGTAATAATTAATTGTGGAATATAATAGAAAAAGATAGACACATATATATATATATATTGTAGTTTCCACATTTATCTTGTAATAATCTTATGCTCCTGTTCTACGGGTTTCAATTACTTTTTACTTTTGTTCTGTTCTAGGGGTCTTATTTATTTTTTACGTGTTGATATTTGAATATTAATTATTATATCAAAATGTAGTACAAATTAAAAAAAAAAATTGTAAAAATACTTTCATTACTGTCTTCTAATATTAATAGAATGATATTTGTACAAAAAATTATACAAATTATATAACTAAGCTTTATATTATCAGTATATATCTCATCTACTGTTTGTTGATATATATTTTGTATGTTATCAACACTATTCTAATTAATTATATTTAATATTGAATTAGAGTTCTAACACAAGTATACTTGAATCAAAGGAAAATAATATTGAATGCAAATGAAATTACAGTACCAAACAATAATTTATATAAAAATTAAGAATATTTTATTATTAATATGTGATTAATTTTATTATAATAAAAAAACAAATATTTTTGAGTGAGACGTACGAAAATAATAAAAAAATATTAGTATAATTTAATTGAAAAAAGTATTTCATATGATAAGAGAAATACTCCCTCCGTCCCCAGAACTATCGTCTTAATTGGGTTGAGCACGAGATTTAAAAAATATTGATATTATATTGGTAGTTGATAAAAAATATGGATATAATACTCTTTTGCTCTTGTGAACGTATTAGTGTAAAAAGCAGCGGCAATTGTGTAATAAAAATGAAAAAGTAAAGGTAGTTTTACAGTGATATTGTTATTTATGAAAATAAAATTATTGTTTTAAAACAGACAAAAATAGTAAACAAAACTATTGTATTAAAATAGAGGGAGTACGTCAAATCACTACAACACAAATTTAAACTAGTATTGTACCACAAGCCAAATAATAATTTAGAGTTTCTATATGAATTTTGATTTAACTAATATTTTAATTTATGATTTTGTGAAAATAAACAATATACTATATATTTTTTTTTTACTTGAGAATTATGAAAATTATATATATATACTCCCTATGTCCTTTAACAATCTATTCATTTTTCCATTTTGGTCCGTCCCATAACATGGTATCCGTTTCCTTTTTTTTTTTAATAATTGTACTATCTATATAACATTACAAATACCCTTCTAATTTACAATATATTATACAAATGTCATTACCTTTATATCATACAATACTAATAGGGTTAATTTAGTCTTTTTACTTTTATTTCTACTTTATTCCAATATAATACTAATATTCCTAAAATTCCGTGTATAAACAAAATGGATCGATAGAATCGGGACTGAGGGAATATATTATATAACCCTAAAAGTAGGTGCAATAACAAACCAATAAAATATAACTTGGTAGTATATGGATTATAAATAAACTAACACATAATAATAATAATAATAATAATATTCTTATATACTCACCTTATAAAACTATACTCAATTTTTAGTTACGATACTTAAGAAAATTAACATTTTAATTATTTGTACATTTTATTTATAAGATTAGAATTGAAATTTTATATAGTTACTAATATAATTTTTGGATTAAAATAGAATGAGTTATTTATGGTTCATCAGTAGCATCTGTGTAAATAAATAGAAAAAAAAAATGTTGTAATTAAAATTTAGGAGAATGTATATAGTTTGATCGACAAAGACTGAGAGAAAAAACAATTCACTGACTAACTTCAAGAATAACATGATACAATATATAGAATAGAAAACTCGACTAACATCCACAAAATCAGGAATATAGATCACTACTTTACTACCAATAAAATCACTAAAATAGCAGCAGACTTATTCAAAATAGACTTATTTAAAATCATAATTATCTATAAAAAAAATATATATACCTATAAATTTTTAAAAAAGAATTCCGCTTTATTACTAAATATGGTATAAATATATTTTTGATAGATAAAATAAAATGATAAAAGTGAACACACTTAAAAATAAATAAATAAATAAATTAAAAGAGCATTAATTGCTAAACAACTAACTGCTAGATTCATATGAAGTTTGAATTCTTAGTTTGGAGTTGCTTCCACGTGATCACCAATGACATGTTTTATTATTCCACTTTCTCTACCTCGTCCTCGCTCAGTCTCGTATTTATATATCCATTTATTTTTTACATAGAGTTTAAAAATATTAATATTATATTCCCCCCGTCCAGCTAGAAAGTATATATATTTTTATTTTGGGACGTCCAATTACAAAGTAAACATTTCATTAAATGCCTTACTTTTTTTCACAAATACCCCTAATTTACATCACATCATTACTTTTACACCAAAAAGCTAGGACAAAAATATCATTACACTACTTTTAACTACCCACTATAATTAAAATACTATTATTTCTTAAACACCGCACCAAAAGTAATTGTATACTTTTTTTGTGGACGGAGGGAGTATTATAATAAAATAAAATAAAGATAAAAAAACTAAATTAACTCTATTAGTATTCTATGATATAAAAATAATAGCATTTGTATAATATATTGTAAATTGGAAGGATATTTGTAATGTTAGGTAAATAGTACAATTAAAGAAAAAAATGGATACTTTGTTATGGAACGGACCAAAATTTTTTATTATTACATCTTTAATAAATTTTTTATACTATCCTTATTTTATTTTTTATTTAGTTTATTTTTATATTAAAATAATGTCATTTTTTAATTTATATGTTTGAACATTATGACATAAATAGCTTTGGCGAAATAAATATACTCTCTGTCCCAAAACTAAGTATCCGTTTGTTTTTTGTATGGAGTTTTATAAATATTAGTATTATATTGAGATGTAGTAGAAATAAAAATGATTAAAATAACCTTATTAGTATTGTGTAATATAAAGGTAATGATATTTGTGTAATATATTGTAAGTTGTAAGGGTTTTTGTAATGTTAGGTAGATAGTACATGTACTAAAAAATGAAATAGATACTTTGTTATGACAAAGACTAAAATAGAAAAAAAGATAGTTTGTTATGAGACGGAAAGAGTATTTAATCCGTCCAACTAGAAAGTATATATATTTCTATTTTGACATGTCCAATTATAAAGTAAACATTTTATCAAATGCTTCAATTTTTTTTCACAAATACTCTCAGGGTGTGTTTGTTTGGGGGATTGGATTAGATTTTCACTGTTCATCCCTTTTTTTTTTCCCCAAAAACATCAAATCAAACACTTATTTTCCATTTTTATATTATACTAAAGATCAATTTTACATTCAAAACATCACATCAACACCTATTTATATCACATCATATAATTATTCAAATTCAAAATTTTTACTGTTCAAATCCCAATTCAAAATCCAAACCCCAAACAAACACTCATCACATCATTACTTTTTACACCAAAAAGCAAAGGTAAAAATGTCATCACATTATTTTTAACTGCCCACTATAATTAAAATACTATTATTTATTAAACACAATTTTAAAAGTAATTGTATACTTTATGTGCAGAGAGTATATAATACTTTCGATCAATTCAAAAATTTTATTATTCAAGTTACAATTCAAAATCCAAATTTCTAAACAAACACACCGGATTCGTACATTAATATAATACACCAGTCCTCTTACATTTCGTGTTTTATATATAAATATAAAATTTTAGAAGTGACATAAATAATTAATAAATAAATAAAAATATATATTGATAAAAACAATTAGAACATAAATAATTATAAATAAATATTGAAGTAATTAATTAGAATAATTATATATCAGAAAATTTAAAATATAATTATTATATATTCGTTCCGTCCTAAAACAATAGTCTCATTTCCATAAATAATTATATCACTATAAAACTATCATTACTTTTTCATTATAGACAAAAAAATCCTTTACTCGTATTTTTCCTACTACTAATATAATATCAATATTTTTTAAATCTCATATCAAATACAACTCAACTCAGAGTATTGTTTTAGTACGAAGGGAGTGTAACATTTAAAGAAAAGAATAATGAATAAGATGCACGACATACTAACAAAAATATAAAATGGAGAGAATAGTCGTATTTGCACGGCTATGTATAGTAAATTCGAAAAAATAAAAAATAAAAAATAATAGTAATAAAAAGACCGACAGACAAACGACACGGCAATCCAGACTAAGATTAAAATAATCATATAATTAATTAACTAATAGAAAACACGAGTACTGTGAATGTCTATCTCAAATGATGAGTAGAATTAATTAAGAAATAAATACTCTATCATCTTCCATACCGTTCTGTAATAGTAATAATAATAATAATAATAATAATAAATACTCTTCTGTCGTCCAATTATGTATTTATTTGATCGGATACAAATTTTAAATAAAATAAATAAAAATAAATTTGAATGGCAAAAAATATAAAATAAATTTGGATGACAATAAAAAAATAAAAAAAAATAGCAGGACGCAGTGTAGGTCGCGTTAATAACTTGTCGGAACCCATCGGATTGTTAGTTGTGTATCTTTATTAAAAAAAAAAATAGAAAAAGTAATATATACATTTTACTTTTATAAAATATTATTTTAATATAAATTCAAATTAATTTTTTAAAATTCAAGTATAAAAACGCCTTAACTTCTCCGCTACCCATGGATTTTCCTTTCTTTCACATTAATTAATTATTGTGTACCTTACCTATAAAGTGTCGTTACTCCACACCCATCTAACTGCACTGCACCGTGGAGTCGCCATTCTTCCAAATCAACTCTCGGAATGAGCTGTAATCTGTATGTATTTATGCTCCTCAATTCAATTTTGATTTTCTTAATTTGCAGAAGGATCGAGCCTTGAATCGTCTTGTATCTTCCGTTTTGGTTTTGTTGCTATCGAAATCTGCTCAGAAATTAATTTTACTTATTCGGCGGATTCAATTATGCTGTGCTAATTACTTGAATTGAATGCTCGCAATTCTAGGTTTTCTGTTCTGGTGATTTCAATTTGTCGTTCGTTCGTTCATGTTCTTCGGATCTTAATCGAAATCGGACGGCGGTTAAGTTTGGTTTTAATTAAGTGTGTTTATTGCAGAAGTGATTGATTTGATTGAGCACAGATCTAGCTAGGAAGATGAGATCGAACAGAATGTTCTGGCTGTCGATTTTTCTGCTACTCATCAATGGCCGAGGCGTCGTGGAATCAGTTTCCGACTACTTAATCGGCCTCGGCAGCTACGACATCACCGGACCGGCTGCCGACGTCAACATGATGGGCTACGCTAACTCCGACCAGATAGCCTCCGGCGTGCACTTCCGGCTGCACGCCCGCGCCTTCATTGTCGCCGAGCCTCGAGGAAATAGCCGAGTTTTGTTTGTAAACCTCGACGCTTGTATGGCGTCTCAGCTCGTCACCATTAAAGTCCTCGACCGTCTCAAGGCGAGGTCCGTCGATATTCATTTCTTTCCAATATCACATTTGAATTTATTTTAAGTGAAATAGTTAATTAATATGATATCAGAGCTCAATGTCCTTGTAGAAGACTTGTTTGGAGGGGGCTGCGGGTTCAGTTACCCTACTCTCAATGTGCTCCTTTAATACCGACCAATTATTATTTGTCATGTGTATTTAAATTTTTTATTTTATTAATTTTTTTGTTATAAAAATATACATGGATGATGATGATTGGTTAAGTATACGAGGAGTACAATATATTTGAAGTAGGGTAAATGAACCTAGGAGAAGGCGGGGTTCAGTTACCTTACTCGCAATGTGCTCCTCCTATATCGACTAATCACTATTTGCTATGTGTATTTAAATTTTTTATTTTATTAAATTTTTTGTTTTAAAAATAAACATAACGGATGGTGATTCATCGGTATATGAGGGGTACAATACATCGGAGGTAGGGTAAATGAACTCAGGAGGGGGCGGAGTTCAGTTACCTTACTCTCAATGTGCTATTCCTATATCAACCAATTACTATCCGCCATGTATACTTAAATTTTTTATTTTATTAATTTTTTGTTTAAAAATATATAACTGAGGGTGATGGGTCGTATACGAGGAGCACAATATATTGGAGGAGGCAGGGTTAAATTATCCTACCTCCACCTCCAATATGGTCCTTCTGTACCGACCAATCACCATCCGCCATATATATTTTAAATTTTTTTTATTAATTTTTTTGTTTTAAAAAATATACATGGTGAATGGTGATTGGTCTGTATATGACGGACACAATACATAAGTAGTATAACTGAACCTAGAAGGGGGTGTGTAACAATGTGCATTTTTTAGTTTAAATTTTTAAGTGAAATAGTCATTTAACACTATATTACAGATACGGCGATATCTACAACGAAAACAATGTCGCCATTAGCGGAATTCACACACACGCCGGCCCCGGAGGCTATCTCCAATACGTCGTCTACATTGTCACGTCCCTCGGCTTCGTGCGCCAATCGTTCGATGCTCTTGTCGATGGGATCGAACAGAGCGTCGTCCGAGCGCATAACAATCTCCGGCCGGGATCAATCTACGTGAATAAAGGTAGTCATTTTCTGCGTCGTCGTTTACGAATCTGTTTATTTTCGACTAGTTGCGACAGCTATGTTCTATTCTTGCTCGATACGTTGCAGGGGACCTTTTCGATGCCGGAGTTAATCGGAGTCCGAGCGCGTATCTTAACAATCCAGCTACCGAGCGGAGCAAGTACAAGTATGATGTCGATAAAGAAATGACTCTCTTGAAGTTTGTCGACGACGAATGGGGCCCCGTCGGGAGCTTCAATTGGTTCGCGACACACGGAACTTCAATGAGCCGGACGAATTCACTAATCAGCGGCGACAATAAAGGCGCCGCAGCTCGATTTATGGAAGATTGGTTCGATCAGAGCAGCCGTGGAAGCGTATCGTCTGACGAATCTAGGAGCGATCGAATTCCTCGAAGAACTTCTAACATCATCCCGCCTATCGAAGATCAGCGTAAGAATTTCTATCTCGCGTCGCAATTCGCCGTAAACTCGTTACTACTTACGAATGATTCTTGTCAATCAGATCATGAGCTGCTACAACTTGCCGCCGCTTTCGAGTCGACTTCTGGAAAAACGACCACGCGATCGTCGAGCCTTAACGCGCGAGTGAGAAGCGCTCTCGTGCAAGCGAATAGGCCTAAGTTCGTATCGGCGTTTTGCCAGACGAATTGCGGAGACGTTAGTCCGAATGTGCTCGGTGCCTTCTGTAACGATACGGGTTTACCGTGCGATTTCAATCAAAGCACTTGCAACGGAAAGAACGAGCTATGCTACGGCCGAGGACCCGGGTATGTGCATCGTACGACATATTCCGTGCCCCGATTTTTCACTTGTCGAAGATTCGAATGATTTGGTGCGCGGCAGGTACCCCGACGAGTTCGAAAGTACGCGAATTATCGGCGAGAGGCAGTTCAGGAAGGCGGTCGAGCTTTACAACACAGCAACCGAAAAATTAGTCGGGAAGATCGACTATCGACATTCGTACGTCGATTTTTCCAAGCTCGACGTGGCGATTCCAAACAACGGCGATGTCAAGAAAACTTGCCCTGCTGCTATGGGATTTGCGTTTGCTGCCGGGACGACTGATGGACCGGGAGCTTTCGATTTCAAGCAAGGCGATAATGAAGTACGCATTTTTTTTCGTTGTAGTTATATCGATATTTATGTCACTCTTTCGTCTTTATACGACAGGGAAATGCCTTCTGGAAGCTCGTACGCAACGTGATTAAAGCTCCTGGTCCCGAACAAATCGAATGCCAGCGTCCGAAGCCGATTCTTCTCGACACCGGAGAGATGAAAGTTCCTTATGATTGGGCGGTCCGTTCATCTTCGAAAACATTAAAAATAATGTCGCTCGATTAGCCACTAGTTTATTCGAATCTTCACGACGATTGTTTTTCTATCGCAGCCTTCGAATCTTCCAGTTCAAATTCTGCGGATTGGACAGCTCGCCATTCTTAGTGTCCCCGGAGGTACGACAGCTCGTCTTCTTGTCGAAGACATTTGGTTCTTATGTTCTTCGTAATTTTATATCGCGAAATTTTTCGAGATTGAGCAGAGTAAAGAAAAATGGAGGCTTTTTTTTGTTGTTTTTGTGTTTGTCGTGGCAGAGTTCACGACGATGGCCGGAAGACGGCTCCGGGATGCTGTCAAAAGTGTTCTGACGAGCGGAGGTAGCAATGTATTCGGTAAGAATGCCCGGGTTGTGATCGCGGGGTTGACGAATACGTATTCGCAATATGTGACGACGTTCGAAGAGTATCAGATACAGAGATACGAGGTTCGGAATCGTTCTTAATATATAGCTTGGAGATATGTGAATATAAGTCGAAAGTTTAGCATAAAGTCTACGTAAAATATTCTTTCCGTTAAAAAGTAACAATAACTAAGAATTACGCATAATAGACGCTGTTCTTGAACCAAAAGAATATTCTATTTAGACTTCATATCAATAGAGATTTCATACAATAAATAAAATAGAGATCGATTAATTTTCGATATAATTTCAATCTCAGTTTAAGGATACAACATTCATTTAAAAAATAGTCAAAATTTTGAATTGGAATAATTATATAACATGATATAAATAGGTGTTGACGCGATATATACTCTCGGTGCTGGTATATACTGGTATCATATTATATCAAACTTCGACACCGTAACTGTATCTTGTGGTATATTTATACTGATACTGTATCGAAAATTACAATATTTTCAGTATCTTTTCATTATGACATAGACAATATACTACATTTCCGTTTTTTTCCAACCCGGTATACGAGCATTTCCCTTCATTTCCAGGGCGCCTCGACGCTATACGGTCCGCACACTCTCTCCGGCTACATACAAGAATTCAAGAAACTCGCCGCAGCCCTAACCACCGGAAAACCCGTCGAACCCGGGCCACAGCCGCCGGACATGCTGAGCAAGCAAATCGGGTTGCTCCCGCCGGTGGTGGTCGACGGGACCCCGCTCGGCGTGGCGTTCGGCGACGTCAGCGTAGACGTCCCGAAGAACTCGACGTTCAAGAAAGGCAGCAAGGCGACGGTGGTGTTCTGGTCGGCGTGCCCGAGAAACGACCTGATGACGGAAGGCACGTTCGCGCTCGTCGAGATGCTCGACGGCGGAAGCTCGTGGGTCCCGGCGTACGACGACGACGATTTCTGCGTGCGGTTCGCGTGGTCGAGGCCGTCGAAGCTGAGCTCGCACAGCCAGGCGAGGATCGAATGGAATGTTCCGGAGACGGCGAGGCCGGGAGTGTACAGAATAAGGCATTTTGGAGCTGCGAAGAGCCTTTTTGGATCGATCAAACATTTTACAGGTACTTCTACTGCCTTTGTTGTCTTGTGATTTTTGCCTACAGTTTTTCGACGTCTGGTGTTGTTATTATTGAGTTACCTTTTTTAGGGATGTATTTGTATTTTAGGTTGATGATATTACGAAATTAATGATGATTGGTAATTATTTTAGCTGCCAAATTACACAAAATTTACACATGGTTTTATGAAATTGCGCCAAATCATTTATACTTTTAAAATTGTGTCAAATTTTCTCGTGGTTTCATATCTAATTTTCTCGGCAGTCCTTATTTAACGATATTTAACCTAAATGCGTCCAAACATCGTATAAATTTTAGAATACCAATTTCTAAATCTCTAAAATTACAAATTTGTTCATTGTTCTTATATTTAGTCCAAAAAAATAATAAATATACTAAAAAATACTTATTTTTTTCAAGTTTTAAGAGTATTTTTTTTAGGTTAAATATAAGAAAAATAAATATATTTGTAATTTTAGTGATTTAAAAATTGAAATTATAAAATTTATTCACAATTTGAGCACATTTAAGTCAAATACCGTTAAATAAAGACCGCCGAGAGGTTAGTTGCAGAGTTTATAAAACCATGAGGGAGTTTGGCGCAGTTTTAGAAATACGGGGGATTTGAAGCAATTTCGTGAAAGCACATGTGGATTTTATGCAATTTAGCCTTTTTGAAAATATAATTATACACTTTAACTACATTTTAAAATTTATAATTTATATATTTTTTATTATTTTAAATCTTAATCTATAATTATTTTTATTAAATTATAATTATTTCTACTAATATACTTCTTAACTATTTACTAATTTCACAATAACTAAAATTTTGTGTAAAAACGACAATTCAACGTGATGGGGGGATTATTACAAAATTAGTGATGATTGATAATTATTTTAGGCGTAGATATGAGAATAAAATGATGTATGTATGTATATATTTGTGTATGTAATATTGTATATATATTTGAGAACAATGCTCATTTAGTCATCCACCACAATGGGTGCGTTCGTTTGTAAGATTTTGCAAAAATTTTACTATTCATCCAATTTTTTCTTTTCAAAAACATCAAATCAAATACCTATTTTTTATTTTTTATATTATACTAAAAATGAATTTTACATTAAAAATATCACATCAACACCTATTTATATCACATCTAACACCTATTTATATCACATCATATAACTATTCAAATTCAAAATTTTTACTATTTAAATCCCAATTCAAAATCTAAACCCCCAAACAGACACACCCATAGAAATAAAAAATATAGATATGTATATATATTTTTTTCAAAACGAAAATCAAGAATTTAATAAAAAATATTATTTTAAATATTATTGATACGATTATCTATATCTCAAATTAAAATCTAAACAAAACATCTCGAACTAAAATACTATACAATCAAAAGTATGTAATTGAATCACAGAAAGATTGTGCATAGTTTTGCTGTGTGTATTTTCTTTATGTCATCACTTGGTAATTTTTATCTTTTGAAAATGTAATTTTAATTTTTGACACCAATACATTTTATTATTTTATTTTATTTTAGTTTTTTATTCTATTTTCGGCATCAAAATACTTTTATTTATTTATCTTGTAAGGGTGAAAAATTCAACGATAACATATAATTTACTCCATCCGTCCCATGTAATATAGGTGTATTACTGTAGATACGAGAATACACGATAATTTAGATAAAGTATAATTAGTAAGTAATTAAGAAATGCATTAGTAAAAATAATTATACATTAAGATTAAGATAAGTAAATAGTTTAATTAAAATTAAAAAAATTATAAAATTTAAAATGCGATTAAAGTGTATAATTATATTTTCAAAAATAAAAATGACAAGTTACGTGGGACGTATTTATTTTTGAGTATTTATTTTTGACAAGTTATAGGATGGAGTATTTATTTTTGACGTCATTTTCAGTGCCACCTCTGGTGGCTCAACTTTATATTGCTTTTCTATGGCATCTACGGTGGCGTCATAATTACTCCCTCCGTCCCATATGACTTGTCCATATTTTCTATTTTTATCCGTCTCACATAACTTGTCCTTTTTATTTTTGAAAATATAATTATACACTTTAATCGCATTTTAATATAATTATACACTTTAATCGCATTTTAAATTTTAAATTTTATAATTTTCTTAATTTTAATTAAATTATTTATTTATCTTAATCTTAATTTATAATTATTTTTACTAATACACTTTTTAATTACTTACTAATTATATTTTACCTAAATTCTCGTGTCTACAGTAATACACTCATATTACATGGGACATGGGACAGAGAGAGTATTTATTTTTTGTGAGGGTAGTCTCTACTAAAATATTGGCATCATACTTTGGTCATAGATTAAAATCGCGACACAGGCCGTGCCATTTGAGCATAAATGTTGTAGTTTTGACGCGATTTCTTCTGTGCTAAATGTTTATTTTGTCAGTAGTGATCTATTATATATATTACATTAAAAAATAATTTTATATTTAAAATATTATACTCCTTCCGTCTCGATACAATAGTCTTGTTTACCATTTTTGTTTGTCTCAAAACAATAATCTTATTTTCATAAATAACCATATCACCATAAAACTATCCATATTTTTTCTTTTTCATTACACAATTGTTACTACTTTTTACACTAATAAACTTACAAGGATAAAAAAGTCTTTTATTCATAATTTTTACCAACTAAACGTCGTGTCTAACTCAATTAAGACTATATTTATAGGATGGAGTGAGTATTAAATAACAATTTCAGTTCAAAATTTTTATATTTAAAACTCAAACACATTATACCAACACTATTAATCAAGCACAGTTTTAAATAAAAAATATATTATTTTTTCACAAAATATTATACTCCCTCCGTCCCATTGAAAGGTTGCCATTTTCCATTTTCGTCCATCTCAAAACAAGGTTACCATTTCCTAATTTAGTAATTGTACTACCTACCTAACATAATAAATACCCTTCCAACTTATACTATATTACACAAATGTCATTACTTTTATATTACACAATACTAATCGGGGCATTTTCGTCTTTTTCACTACAACTCATTATAATACTAATATTAAAAAATCTACGTGCAAAAAATAAACGACAACCTTGCACCGGGACGGAGGAAGTATCAAAACACTATGTTTAAACAAAAATTCAAATCAAACGTCTCATTTCAAATAGAATTCAAACTACAACCAAACAAACTCGTAAAAATTATGCTATTCTTTTCATTCCCATTTTCATTCAACATGTCAACATTTGCTTTACATTATTTGAAAATAGCTTGTAGGGATGACAATGAATCGGGTATGAGTCGGATCTAGATGGACTCAAGATTCAACTCGAATACATATTGTTGGAACCGAGACCCAAATTGGACCACAATACTCGGACTCAACCAGAACAATATCCGATAATAACCGATAGACTTAATAGACTCGCAAAACTCTTTTGCGATTCTTAAATTTTAACTTAAAATTGGACCCGAACTCGAGTCCAGACCCAATATATATTAAAATTTATGTATTTTATTCAAAAATATTATAATAAAATAATAAAAATTAAATAAATAAAATAATTTTAATATATTTTATATTGTTAAAAATTATTATTTTTTCTTTTACATAATTTATATATTATTAATATATTAATCAAGTCAATACTCGAATACTTAAATTCGAGTTCAAATAAATAGATCATATCCAAGTTAAATATCGAGTCTACCCGAACCCATTCACTTCTGTAATAGCTTGACTTTCTTTATTTCTCACTCTCTCTCTCTCTCTCTCTATATATATATATATATATTTATATATATTCCATTTATTTATTAAACAACCGTAGTAAATTATATTCTTATAAAAATTATATTATTTCATATTAAACTATTACATATAAACTATAAACACAAAATACCTAATTTTGAAATAAATTTAGTTGTGATTTTAAATCAAAATCAACAATACTTTTTCTTTAAAAAAAAAAAAAAAAACTATCATCTTCAACTTTGTTCACATGACTTAACAAATTATAAGTTTCTTTTTACAAATTACGACAATTCTTGAAAATAGTTTAAACATATGTTAATTAGTCATACCCGAAGAGCTTTAGTTCGCCGTTGCCACCTCTGCCCCCTCTTGCATCGTCGAGCTGCCGGTGACGGCAAAGAGATAATAAATCTAATAGAAGAAGGTTAATTAAATAAAAACTATATAGCACAATGTTTTTTTTTTTTTTTTTTTTTTTTAAATGAAAAACTTAAAGTATTAATTTTAATTAAAGAGATTGGTTAATGTTAATTGTTTAACTTTATTACATTAAAATAGTTACATAATTAATGGAAAATAATAACAATAAAGCTTTTATATTATTTAGATTTAAATTAAATAATATGAATAGCACAAATTTGAGTGACAGGGGAAATACTGTAAAATTGAAAATTACACGAATTCTATAATAACAAAGAATAATATTCATTTCCGTCCCAATACAATAGTCGTGTTTACTATTTTTGTCCGTCTCAAAACAATAGTCTCATTTTTATAAATAATCATATCACTATAAAATTACTTATATTTTTTTATTATTATTACACAATTGTCACTACTTTTTACACTAATACACTCACAAGGGCAAAAAAGATTTTTACCTGTATTTTTTATCAACTGTCAATATAATATTAATATTCATAAAATCTCGTATCAAACACAACCCGAACTATAGTTTTGAAACGGAGGGAGTAAAAGCAAACATATTTCAATGAATCTATTCGGAAATTAGTAGCTAATTTAATTGCAGTATTAAATTTATGTACACAGCCAATTTAATTGCGTTTACTTTTAGTCACACGCTACAAAAAAATAGTATATTTGTAACGGAATTCTATCCCTAAAGATCATGTAGCTAACGTAGTTCCATCATTAATTCCGTCTCTAATATCATTAGTAACGAAAAAAGTGACTTTAAAGACGAAAAAATTTCGTTACCAAAATGATATTTTCTTGTAGTGATGTACGTAACTATGTATGACAATATTATTATTTAGATAAATTGCAAGTTAAATTACCACAATGCAATTAAAAAAAAAAATCTAAAAATATTGCATTACTATAATACTTCATCCGTCCAATTTCTATTGTCCTAAAGTATATTTGCACGATTTTTTAGGTGATTGTCTTTTTGTTATGAATTGACAAATTTGCCCTAAAAATGTAAAATTTGTATTTAAAAAATGAAATAGGACAATAGTTGTTGGACGTCCCAAATAGAAAAATAGGAGATTAATTTGTGAGTATATCTTTTCATATTCTCTTTTCAATTTCATATTGCAATACATTTTTATATAAAATATCACACAAAACTATTATTTGAAGCAAAGATTAATACTAAAATACAAATATTTTTAAAAAATATACTCTCTCCGTCCCATAACAAAATATCTATTTTTTCATTTTACTTTATCATATACCAAAGTATCTATTTTCTTTCTTTAGTAACGATACTATCTACCTAATATTACAAATACCTTTACAACTTACAATATATTACACAAATGTCATTATCTTTATATCACACAATATTAATAAGATTATTTTAGTCATTTCTATTATTGCTACTACATCTCAATATAATACTAATATTTTTAAAATTCCGTAAAAAACGCAAAATATTACAGTCAGTCAGAATTATTTTGTTTACCAACTAATTTTATTTTTTTTATTGTTTAATTCTTACCATTCATTTATTCACCGTAGATATGATTCACTATAAAATTACAATATTTCATCTCTGAAAATATCACCGCTGTGTTCGTCCATTATTTTTTTTTTTTAATAAATTTTTTCAAAAATATTAATATATTACACATGTATTCATTATTTTTATATTACTTATATAATTTTATATAACTCACATAAAAAAATATATATATATTTATTCAATTCATCTGTCCGTCCAAATAAAAAATCAAAACAAAATAACAATCACCAACTAAATACATCAAAATACCTCAAATTTCAAAAAAAAGATAATAATAAAATTCAAAACTCATCCGACCACATCCTTAAAAATGACAAAATCAAATACATTTTTATACTAAAAAAAATATTTTCAAAATTTTATATCCATACAAAAAAATCTTGGACGTTTCCGCTAACCCTAATTAATGCAGAGCAATAATTTATTCATTTATTCCAATTATTATATATATTTATTTATTACGATTACAACATCTCAGCCGTTCATTCAAATCATCAGCAATTCAACGGCGGGAGATCAGAGTTTACCTTCCCGGAATCGCCGGTCGTCGTCGTCGCCGGCCGGTCGAACCGCTTCCTCCCAAACAAGAAAAAACCGGCGCCGTGGCCGGCGACGGCCGCCATGAAAACGCCGCCGTTGAAGGACATGAGTGCGAGCATGACCAGATAGGCGAGTCCAGTCCTGACCACGTGCAGCGCCGTCCGCAGCAGCGGCGCAGCCCAGTGGTCCGATAAGCCACGGAGGAGATCGGTCGCCGACAGCCACTCGACGGCGGCGGCCACCACGAAGACCATCGCCAGCGCCAGGACGTAGATCCCGGCGCGGCCGTAGCCAGGAAATCCGGCGAAGAGAATCTCGGTGTTATGACCCCAAAAAAAGGTCATGTGCATCATCACGTGATGGAGGTGCGTAGTCCCGTTGGCCCCCGCCATCCCCGCGGCGGTGGCGCCGCCGCCGCCGCCGTGCATATGATCGTGGCCGTCCATCTCCGGCTGTTTGGAGGCCGTCGGATTAGAGAGGGGTTGATATAGAGATGGAGAGAGAGAGAGAGAGTGAGAGAGAGAGAGAGTTTGTTGAAAATAATAAATAGCAATTAAAGTACGTCAACTAGTGTTGGGATTTGTTTGGTAATAGCATTAATAATTTTTAAATAAAATATATATTTTTCTAATTTAATATTCATGTAGTGTATATGTTTTAATTTAAGTAAAATATAATTAATAAATATTAAAAATATTACTCCCTCCGTCCCACAAATTTTGTCTTTATTTTTTATTTTCGTTCGTCCCACATAACTTGTCATTTCTATTTTTGGAAATATAATAATGCACTTTAATCGCATTTTAAATTTTATATTTTATAAATTTTTTAATTTTAATTAAACTATTTAGTTATTTTAATCTTAACCTATAATTATTTTTACTAATACACTTCTTAATTACTTACTAATTATACTTTACCTAAATTCCCGTGTCTACAGTAATACGCTCATATTATATGGGACGGATGAAGTATATTAGTTAAAATAAATATTTTATAGTAAAAATAATTATATATTAAAATTAAATTAATTAAATAGTTTAATTAAAATTAAAAATATTATTAAAATATATAGATATTTGAATAAAACAAAAAGTTAAATTATGTGAACATAATAAATAAAAAATTAAAAAAAATTATGTTGAGAAGTACTATTCCTTTGTCCCATTAAAGTATCGATTTAGATTTTATAATAATAATATTTTGTTAACGAGTATAAATATATAAAATTATTTTAATTTTTTATATGTAATTTATTATAAATATAATGATATATTTATAAGTTATGTAAAAATTAATAATGTTTTCATATTAGTGTGTGATTACTGCTATTATCCTATGCAAGATGTATTTTGAAAAACAAACGAAAATGATAAAAAATTTACATTGAGTTGGAACGGAGACAAATGAATAAGTTTATTTGTTTATTGTTTGAAATTAATTTAAAATGAGGTTTTGATTTAAATTTTTGTTTAAATAATAGTTTGATATAATATTTTGTTATGAAAAAATAATACTCCCTTCGTCCTATTGGAAGGGTGATATTTGCTTTTTGCATGTAGATTTTTTAATATTAGTATCATATTGGCTTGTAGTAAAAAGGACAAAAACACCCATGTTAGTATAGTGTAATACAAAAGTAATGACAATTGTGTAATATAATGCAAATTGAAAAGGTATTTATTATGTTAGGTAGGTATTAAATTACTAAATTATGAAATAGTAACTTTTTTTTGCGACGGACAAAAATAAAAAATAATAACCTTTCAATGGGACGAGGGAGTACTATCTTTATTGAAATCTAGTGAAGTAATTATAATGTTGATGTAAGTTTAAAATTTAAACCAAAACACATCATTTCTGTATGTCTTTAAGCTTTGAGTTGGTTTTGAGGATTTGATTTTTAGGTTTGTATTTTGAATAATAAAATTTAATTAATTTTTAATACTCTCTTCGTTTCATAACAAGATATTCATTTATTTTTTGCGTGTTGATCTTTGAATATTAATTATTATATCAAATCGTATTACAAATAAAGAGAAATGGTGTCTTATAATACTAATATAATGACATTTGTATAAAAAATTATACAAATATAAAGATATTATCAATGTTAAGTACAATGACGCGAAAGAAAAATGGATACTTTGTTATAGGATGGAGTGAGTATAATATAAAAATAAAAAATATTTGATATATACTATTGTTTCGAAAAAAAAAAATTATAATAGAAAATTTCTACTAAAATTCTATAACCAAAATAGGAGTCTATTTGATTGTTATTTTAATTTGAAATTACCAATAATATACCATTTTTAATAAAATAAAAAAAAAACTATTTTTTTAAAAAATATTAAATTAAAATATAATCTAAACAAAATTTAAAATCAATTTAAAATCATAACCAAATAAATCCTCTGTCTAAGAGGAGCTTTTGTTATTTTTTACTATTTTTTTTTTAAAAATTATATTATATAAAATTTTATTTAATAAAAATACCCGTATATTCAATATATTTTATTACTATATATATTTAAAAGCATATTACATATACTTTAATTTACTTTGATTAAATATATCCTATAATATCCAAAATTCCATTCAAATACAGTCTCATTCATCTCATGAAATATTTTGAATTTAAAAAAAATATGTATATATATATATGTATATGTAATAATTTAATAAATAATATTTGCTTCTTATATATGTAAAGTAGGATAGAATAATAGAGGGCAAATTTGAAAAGTATACAAATCTGCATCCGATTGCGGGAAAGGTTTGTTCGCAGTCAGCATCCTTTGTTACCTAAAAACAAATGTTTTTTTTTTTTTTTTTTTTTTTTTTCTTTTCCTATGCTCTCTTCGTCTCACTAAAATTGAATTCTTTGATTAGAGACACAGTATTTAAAGTGAGAATATTTAATTAGTTAACAATAATTAGTTATAATATTATTATACTCCTTTCGTCCCATAACTATGTATCCATTTATTTTTTGTACGGAGTTTTGAAAATATTAGTATTATATTGAGATGTAGTAAAAATAAAATATAAGTGACTAAAATAACCTTATTAGTATTGTGTGATATAAGGAAATGAATACTTTGTTACGAGACAGACTAAAATGGAAAAATAGATAGTTTGTTACGGAACGGAAGAAGTATTATTTTTTTGTATAATTAATAATATTTATATTTTTAAAGTAAATTTAATATATATGATTAAAAAAATTAAAATATATATTTAAATATTTAAAAATTATATAGCAATTAAAAAACATAGGCAATATGAATATAATTTTGTAGAGAATAAAATATTATATAATACAAGTAAATAAAAAATATTTTTGTTTATTTATAATTAATATAAATCAATTTTATAAAAAATGTGTAGTTTTAAATATAAATAAAAATATTTATTTCTTTTAGGAGAGATGTAAAAATAAAAGAGTTTTGAGTGGATCCTACGTCATTGATGATGTTGTATATTATGTAATTAATTAAGTTGATTTATATTTGTTAAATATATTTTGATTTAATAATTTTTATCAAAAATAGAAAAGCATCCACGAGACAATCAAAAATAAAAATAGTGGTGTAACGGATAGTGTATTATATATATATAATCAGCATTATTTCTATATAAATATATTTTATTAATTAATTATAGATAATGCACAAATAAATTGCAATATTAATCAGCTATACATAACACACAAAAATATTTGTCCATAAACAAGGTGGCTTTGGAAACAGATTCCAATGCAAATAAGAGCTTATTGTATATTTATTTTATATACTCCGTCAATTTATTTTAAGTCATATTTTTTAGTCGTTCTATTCAATTACTCTCTCTGTCGTTATATGAAATTTGTCTATTTTTTTTGGATATTTAATTTAAAAAATAATGTGTTATATAGTTAATTAGTTTGATTAATAAATATAATAAAATATTATATTAAATATTTTTATTTAATAAAATATTAAATTAAAAGTTAAAATATTTTTTATATTAATTTTTAAATATTGAATTTTTTATTTACTAATGTTATTTTGAAAATAATAGTAATAATTGTATTTATTGTAAATCAATACATGCATTTAGATAAAAAAAAAAAGTAAATAAATATATTTAATAACTTAAATGTAATTTATACGATAAAAAATTGTAATAAAAAAATTATATAAATAATAAATAAAATTTTTCGAATTTGGTTGTTGTTAGAGATAGTTCGTTATGACATACCAAATTTAATACCACATCGAATACGTACGGTACAAAATTTTTGGTATGATATTTTACTGTACTGTACAAATATTTTGGTATACCGAATTTGCTAAATAAAAATACTGAATTACGAAAATAATATGGATACTTGTAAAAAAAAATACCGAAAAATTTCAAAATTTTGATACAATATGATTTTTTTTATATGATAACGATATACAATAAAATATTTTCAGTATATGTAGATAATTAAAAAAATTGGAATTTTTGTATATACTGATTATTTGATACAATATTGATATTTTTTTTAATAAATAAAAAAATTTGGTACTGTATACAATATATTTCGATATTTTCGGTATACTATTTTAAACCATCTATAACTGAATTGTATACACGGTATTAGAATATAATATTTTAGGTCAAATACCGAAATTTAAAATAAGTTTATATCATTATAAATAAATTCTATTTTTTATTTTTTTTGAACAAAGAAAAAAATCAATATCGAATCTCATTTTTAATTAATTTTTTCAGCCATAAATTTCTAAATTAAACATCAAATTTTTATTATATATTACATTAAAATTTAATTTTAAAATTAAATGAATATTTTTTTTATATAATATTAAGTATTTATTTTACTTTTATTATTCAAAATTTTAGCTCAACTTCTAAATTTACAATTACAAATAATTAAACTAAAAATATTAGTAAATTAATAAAATATAGTCAAACTTTTTTAATTAGTAGTTTTAGTTATTTATTATTACTAATTATTATTATAATTGGAAAGTTGATTAATTCTGTAGGACGACCAAAAAGGAAAAAGTAGACTAATTTGTTGGGACGAAGGAGAATATCATATTGTAAAAAAAGTAGAAATTAATAAATTTTAATGACAATTACATTTTAATTCATTCAAATTAATCTATTTAACTTTTTACTCACAATTATTTCAAGAATTTATTTTTGACTACGTTCAATTAAAACTGATAAAAATAAATATGACACAAAAACTCAAAAATTCGACTCGGACATAATATAAAAAATCGGACTTCGACTGGACGATAGCTGAAATTTTTAGAATATAAAAGTAATTTAAATTTTAATACAGTATTTTTTTTTAAAAAAAAAAAATTTAATAATTAATAAATTTTAACAAAGTATTTGATTGAAATTTAGATTTTGAATTTGCGTTAATAATAAAGAATTTTAATTTGAATAATTTTTTGATTTAATATAAATATGTATTTATATAGTGTTTTGAATATAAAATTAATTTAAAAATTGATAAATAGACTATAACATGGTGTGTTTGGTTAGG